CCCGATACTCTGATCCTATTAATACATGTGAGTGGGGATTAAAAAATGTACCGTGACCCGTCGAGACACTATTGCCTCCACATTGTTTTCCTTATCCAACTGTGAGCCCCTCAGTTGTGGTCCCTATTGCTCCCCAGATCGGACATTTCCCTGCCTACTCCCCTAGATCTGGGATCTTGAGGATTCCTGGTTTGAATCGTTGGACTACTTCCTAGATTCAACAATACAATCACTCCAATAAGTATGTATCACAGTAAGCCCCTGCCACATACCAGGTTGGGGCAGCTAAGTGGCGCAATGGATAGCGTGAGGGTCCTGAAGTCAGGAACACTCATCTTCCTGAGTTCAAATCTGGCCTCAGACACTTACCGGATGTGCGATCCTGGGAAAAATCACTTTGCCCTCTTTGCCATAGTTTCCTCATTTGTAAAATGAGCTAGAGAAGGAAATGGCAAACCGCTCTGGTATCTTTGCCAAGAAAACTTCAAATAAGGTCACAGAGTCAGACAAAGCTAAAATGACTGAACAACAACAATGAACTGTGCCAGGTGTTGCAGATACAAAGAGAAACTAGGAACAGTCCCTGGCCGAAGGGAGGTCACCAGAAGGGGTGTTTGGACCACGCCTGCTTCCAGTTTCAATGATGTCGCTAACTCTTTCTTGTATGTTCATGGGGAGCTGACTCACAGTATCCTTTGATTAGGGGGTAGGTAGCTGCCCGTTTGTGGGTGCCAAGATTTGGCTCTTCTTTTGATTCTTTACTAGTTATTCTGTTCAATCACACATTTTTCACACTGAACTCATGAATCATCTGGCTTGGCTCTAGGGGACCTTTGTTTGGAGGCTATGGATTTGAATTGATGCTGACCCAGAAAGGAACTTGAACGGGGTATGGCTTTTAGAGGGCCACACAGAGTAGGTGGGTGTCTAGGACAATATTGAAAGCAGAATGTAAAGCAGTAAAAAGCCATGGCAGGGAAGGAGCTCAATTGTGGTCAAATATGGCAGACTCTGTTCTTAGGGCTTGTCATACTAAGTGATGACAGCAGATGGCAGCGTTGGGGAATAAGGGTTGTGTTGCTGCTAACAGCTGCCCTGGTCAGCTCCTTAGGGAGATGACAAAGCAGTTCTCTCCCTATCCCTGTCAAGATCTCTTCTGCACTGGGAACACCAATATGCCCACATTTGAAATGTACACAGCAACTCACTACTCTTACTACACTCATGGTCCTGCCAACTAGCGACTTCTAGCGGGGCCGCTAGGCTTTAGGGAATGTCACTAAAGCAGGTCCTGCCAACTAGCGACCTCTAGTGGGGCTGCTAAGCTTTAAGGAATTTTAATGTGAAAAATGAATAAATTACCTCCTGCCCCCACTCCCTATCCTTCATCTCCATTTTGTTGATATGTCCTGATTTAGCAGTTTTAATCCTTTACAGAGATGAAAATCAGGGGCACCTTCAGCCAACTTGTTCCCAGTGGAGCAGGAAGGAGAGGATGCCTAGAAACAAGCCATATTCAGAAAGTGGAAACAATCTGCATCTCGAGCCAAATTAACTTGATTAATGTTATGGTAAGAAATCTTGAAATGTAATTGCTGTCAAGACATTACCTGGGAAAAGGAGAGCATTTGGGCCATGGCTTCCCTAATTGGTGATTTAGAGTATTCATGGCAGCCAGTGAGAGAACTTGGAGAGCTTGGTCTGCTGGATGCCAATATCCTTTTTAAAGGACTCTTAACTGCAACAGAAGCGAGAGCTGTTATCTTGGGAAAATATGCACATTTGCTAATTCTGGGCATCGTGGTTTGCTTTCAGCTTCTGTCCTTTGCCTGGTTGGCACGTCTGTCGAGTCTGGGCAAACACTGTTGAGCTAAGCGGATGCTAGGTGGTTGAGCAATCTTGCTTTTGAAATACAATGATGGGAGGATCCAGCCTTGACTAAAAAGCTGACATCAATCATGGCAGTTTAGTAACTTTCTTTTCTTTAAATAAGTGCTTTTTCAATGTCCTTAAAATAGTCACTGCTATTTTTCCATAACTTCTTTCTCATCCTTCCGTTTGCTTATATCAAGTAGAAAGAGTACTAGCTTGGGAGCCAAGGAACCTAGTGTCTGGGTTGTAATCCTGGATCTTCCTACCTGTTTCTGAGTGATTTTCTTTCTCTCTTTGAGTATGTTTCCTCATTTGCAAAATGAGGGGATTGGACTGAGAAGCACCATTCAACAGTGCAAAGAACAATAGATTTTAAGATTGAGAACCTGCATTGAAATCCTTGCTCAGCCACTTACAATCTGTGGAATGTTGTTAAGTCCCTCATCTCTGGGCCTCAATTTCCTCACCTATCAAAATGAGAGAATTAGACTAGATGACTTCCCGTGATTTTTTTCCAACTTTGAATTCTGCAATTCCATAACCAGATAATTTTTTGAGGTCTTTTTGGTCTCTAAATCTATGAAGTATAGTTCAGCAAACCAAAACTAATACATAGCTGACAAATCGTATCTCATTGAGCAACAGTAGTCCACCACCTCCTTGCCAAGAGGCTGGTTGGCTTCTCCATTTGTCTTCTGAAGTCCTGACATCACTGCATTAATCAGCATTCCTTTGCTTTTAAATATTGTTTCTCTTTATATTGTTGTTAGTCATTCTCTTTAGAAAGTGATTTTGAAATATATTTTGTTGTGGGCAGCTAGGTGGCACAGTAGATAGAGCACTGGCCCTGAAGTCAGGAGGACCTGAGTTCATGTCTGGCCGCAGACTAAACACTTGACACTTACAAGCTGTGTGACCCTGGGCAAGCCACTTAACCCCAACTGCCTAAAGAAAAAGAAAAAAAAAGAAATATATTTTGCTTATATGGGAATAGGAGGAAGAAGGATGATGAATAACTTTAGCTAATTTTTTGTTGATGTTTGTCCTTTTTGAGGAAGACCAATGACATGACAGGAGGATGTCCTGACTTTTGTGTGAATTGGATTTAAGTGACAAGAGTAGTGCAAAGTTGCTAGCCTCACTGTCTTCCTGAGCTAGTTTTAAATATATGCAAATGAAGTATAGGTACTAAGAATAAAAAAAACTGAACAAGATTGGGAAAAGCAATCCAGCTGCTGGTGGCCTCCTGCCCCAAACCACCTAGTCTTAATTTTGTATTTGTATAAACACACTTAGAAATGGATTTCTTGTCTTACTGCATAAGGCATTATGCAAAGTAATGAAAGAGATAATAAGATAAGGCAAGGCAGATAGACAACAAGCTTCTTGAAGGAATTTCACTTATGTTCAAAAATGAGTGTTTCTCAGTATTCAGCAAAGTGCTCAGCACATAGTTGGAACTCAGTAAAGGTTTGTTGATTGATTGAACAGAAAAGCAGAAGTGGAGGAGAGGATTCCTGTTCCTAAGCATTGTGCATAGCTGCCACTTTGGGGGATGGGAAGGTTATTGGATTTCCCATATACTTCTTAAAACTCAACATGTCCAAAACCGAACTCATGATCTTTCCTCCCAAACCCTCCCCTCTTCTTAACTCCCCTATTCCTGCCGTCGCTATCACCATTCTCCCGGTCACTCAGGCTCGTAACATGGGTGTCATCCTTAACTCTTTACTCCCTCTTACTTCCTATTGTCAAGTCCTAATGTTCTTCCCTGTATAAAATTGTTTGTATATACACATTCCTCTCCTCTGATACTGCCATCACCCTGGCAGTACAAGCCCTCAACACCTCATGCCCGGACAACTGTAGCAGCTTACTGGTGGGTCTGCCTTCTTGAAGTCTCTCTTCACTACAGTCCATCCAATGATATGGTCTAACAGTGTTAGAATCCTTTTATTTTGGGGATTTGTTCTGTGAAGTTGGATTCAGTCAAAAGGCCACACTTGAACCTAGAAGGCCATGTGTGGCCTGAAGGCCAGAGGTTCCCCACTTCTGGAATCATATCATTCCTCCCTCCCCCAATTCAATGAAGTCCAGTGTCTCTTTCTTAATTCCAGGATCAAAATTCTCAAAGTTCTTTATAAACGGGCCCCTTCATAGCTTCTAGTTTCCCTGTACCTTACCCTCCCCCTTGAGCTCTTTGATCAGTGAATCTGGCCTACTTGCTGTTCCTTGAACACCATACTTCATCATCCAATTCTATGCATTTTCACTGCTGTCCCCCAGGCCTGGAAGTTTCTCCCTTATCACCTCCACCTCTCCCTCCATCACCTCCTGGCTTCCTTGACTTCCTTCAAGTCTCAGCAAAAGACTCAGCCTTTCCCAGGCCTCCTGAATTTTAATGCCTTTACCTTTGAGATTACCCACAATTTTTCCTGTAGAAATTTTGTTTGTACATTGTAATTTGCAGACTGTGAGCTCCTTGAGTGCAAGGCTTCCCCTCCCCCCTTTCTTCATATCTCCATCTCTTAGTACAGCGCCTGGCACATAGCAGGTGTTTAATAAATGCTAATTGTCTGTTGCTCCTTTTTTTTTTTAAATATGACTTTTGTTCCTATCCCTTTATCTCCATTCAATATTTAGATCTCAGCCCAAATGCCTTTTTGTTTAACTGATTTCATTAGGCTGAGCAGGCTGGTCTTCAAAGGACCAAAGTGCTGAATTTCTGTGCTCACTCCCTCTCTCCATTTAACAGAAATTGCTCTTTGCCAAGAAGGCTCAGGAAATTTGAAATACGTTCTGTAATCCCCATAGCCCTGTTCTCCAAGAGTGAACAGAAGGCCATCTGGCCATCACAGTCAAGCACCAAGACATCAGTCACTGGCTACCTTGTTAATTCTTTCTACAAAATCAGACTAAAACAGCCCAGGAGGGCCAAGATCTAAAAATCCTATCTGTCCTTTCTCCCCATCTCCTGCAGATGTCTTGAGCAGAAGAGAAGGAAGGTTCATTCCCCAAGGTTCCTAGCTTTGATCTATGTCATTCGCCTCCCTTATATTTTTTTTCTCATGATTTGGCTACGTGACAGAAAAGATTAGGAACCCTGTCCAAGAAACAGTGTTACTTACTGAAGATGAGCTAATTATTTTAATTTGTTCCAAAGCTTCTGACAGGCTTTCTTCAATCTCTGAGTCATTCAAGGAGAAGAGGTCCCCAGCACGGGAAAGGTCCTTTTGTCCCAAAACCAGTCTGAACAGATGATGCATGGCGGTACCCGGTGGGTATCAACTCCACTTCTGGATACTCACAGCCATGTGCTTCCTTTTGAGAGGGCTATTAGCATCGAAGGGCATAGCAAGAGAGGCACGTGGTTTTCCTAGAAAGGTAGTTTTTTCTTTGGACTTGGAGATTTCTTCCAGTACACTCTGAAAGGGGGGGAAACACATGGTTTATTATGGAAATTAGCAAAATAGCAGGAAGCTTGGAAGAAGATTCAAAGTCTTACCAAAGAAAAGATGCTTTTTAAAAATATTTTTACAGAGTCTAAGAATTTCAAAGCTAAAAGGGATCTCAGAGACTGTTGAACCCAACTCATTCCTGAACAAGCATCTCCATTTCAATTTCCCTGGCCAGTGTTCATCTAGCATCTGCTTAAGACCTGAAGTGAAGTGGGGCCTATGGAAGCTCCCTGAGGTCAGAGACTGCCTTATATGTTAGTATTTGTACTCTCAGTTGCTTAGCAGAGGGCCTGATGTAGTAAGTGTTTAATAATTCTATCTACATCATGCATTTTAATAGCCTCTACTCAATCGCCTGACTCCTGGCATTTTCATTGGCTGTCCCCCATACCTGACATTCTCTCTCGCCTTGCCTTCACCTCCTGGCTTCCCTGGCTTCCTTCAAGTCTCAGCTAAAGTGTCACATTCTACAAGAAGCCTTTCCTAATCCCTGTTAATGCTAGTGCCTTCCCTCAGAGATTATCTACAATTTATCTGGTCCATATCTTCTTTGAACATATTTGTTTGCATATTGCTTCCTCCATTAGACTGTGAGCTCCATGGAGGCAGGGATTGTTTTGTTTTGTTTTGTTTTTTTCCTTTCAATTTTATCCCCAGCACTTAGAACAATGCTGGGAAAAAAGGAGGTACTTCATAAATGCTTATTTCTCTCTCTCTCTCTCTCTCTCTCTCTCTCTCTCTCTCTCTCTCTCTCTCTCTCTCTCTCCTCTCTCTCCCTCCTCCTCCTCCCTCCCTCCCTCCTCCCTCTCCTCTCCTCTCCTCTCTCTCTCTCTCTTCTCTCTCTCTCTCTTCTCTCTCTCTCTCTCTCTCTCTCTCTCTCTCTCTCTCTCTGCCAGGGCTGGCAATTAACATATACCACCATTCCCTAACTTTCTGCTGTAAGGTAGAAGGAATTTTTATCATCTATTTCCCAGGATACTCATTAGGTTTTTAGTCATTCCAATTCCAACTTCTTTTAAGTGATCTGTTACCTTATATTGTTGTAGTTATTATACATATTGTTCTCTTGGTGCTTTTTATTTTACTTTACATCAGCTCATACAATATTCCCATGTTTCTCTCAGTCTTTCATATTTGTCATTGCTTATTCAGAATAATACATTCAGATATCCCAAATTTTCTGAAATTTCCCAATCAGTGGGTACCCACTTTCTTTGTCAGTCAATAAGCATTTATGAAGCACCTACTATGTTCCAGGCACTGTGCTAAGTGCTAGGGATACAAATTCCTGCCCTCAAGGAGCTCACAGTCAAATATGATAGACAACAGTGTTTTAGCAAAATCGTGTTGATGGCTGAATGGAGGATGGATTGGAGGTTGAGGCAGGTAGACCCACCAGCAGGCTCTTGAAGTAGTCCAAGTGAAAGCTGATGAGAGCCTGCACCAGTGGCAGCAGCAGAGAAGAGAAGGTGAATATTGGAGAGATGCTGCAGAGGTGAAATTGACAGGCCTTGGCAACAACTTGGAGATGGGAGTGGTGGTGAGAGATGAACAATACAGTATCACCCTTAGGTTGTGAAGCTGAGTACGGGGAGAATGGTGTTGCCCTCAACAATAATAAGAAAATTTGGAAGGGGTGAACACTTAGGAGAAAAATGAGTTCATTTTTGGACATACTGAGTTTAAAAATGTCTACTGGAATCCAATTTGAGATGTCTGAAAAGTAGCTTGGAGTTGTGAGACAGGGGGTCGGCAAATAGGTTAGTGCAGAATAGGTAGATTTGAGAATCATCAGCATAGAGATGGTAATTAAATCCATAGGAACTGATAAGATTACCAAGTGAAATAGTATGGAAGAAGAAGAGAAGAGGGCTCAGGAGAGAGTCCTATGGGACACCTTTGATTAGAAGGCATGACCTGGATGAGAATCCAGTAAAGAAGACTGAGGAATGGTCTGATAGGAAGGAAGAGAACCAAGAGAGAATGATGTTTCAAAAACCCAGGGAGAAGAGACCATCTAGGAGAAGATGGCAACCAATAAGACAGAATCTAGAACTGCAGAATTGTTAGGAACCTCTGAGATCATCTAAGCCTAGGAGAATGCCCTCTACAAGACATCCAATGAGTGACCACTAAGCCTTTGCTCCCTCTTAGGGAAGCAGAACCCCTTACTGCCATTTCATGTTTTTGATGACTTTGCTGGGGATGTTAACCCTAAGTTCACCTCTTTGTGACTTCCACCCATTTCTCCTCTTTAGGCCCTTTGGAGTTAAGAAATTTATTCCTTTTCAAATACTTGAAGGGAATTATGTTTGGGCAGCTGGATGGCACAGTGCTTGGAGTCAGAAAGACCTCAGTTGAAATCCTGCCTCAGACTCTTACTAGATGTATGCTACTTCCAATAATAAAAAGACTATTTTCTGGAGAACTAGCACAAGCAAGGTGGTCAGAAGGAATAGGACAAGCATATACTCAAAGTCTCTGAAAAACTGTAGTATCATTGTGAAACTTGGGAGACGCTAACACAGGACTGCCCCGCACGGCTTGCCCATCCCAAAGAAGGTGCTGTGCTCCATGAGCAAGGCAGAATCTCAGTAGTGCTAAGGAAATGTGAGCTGCACAAATCCAGAGACCTCTCCATCCCAAATAGTCTAACAGACTATTTGTGCCTGACCTGTGGTGGAGCCTTCCAAGCTCGTATGGGACCGATCAGCCATAGCCAAACACATTGTACCTTGACCCCAACATAGTGATGTCACTTTAGTCCTCTTTGAAAATGAAAGACAAATAACAACTAGATTGTGACCCTGCACAAGTCATTTACCATCTATTTGCCTCAGTTGCCTCATTTTCTAAAATGAAGACAATAAAACCTACTTCAGAGTTGTGAAGATCAAATAAGTTAATATATGTAATGCACTTCACAAACCTTGAAGTGCTCCGTAAATGCTAAATGATAATAATAATTCCCTCTCCAAGTCTTATCTTCTCCATACTAAACATCTCCAGCTCCTTCAACCACTTGTCATACCACATTCCATTCCATTGCTTCACCATCATGGTGAAGACCACCACTGGCCTCCTTTGGACACACTCTAGATCATTAATGATGATCCCATAATGTAGCACCTAGAACTAGATACAACTCCACCAAATGTGGTTTGACTAGGCCAGAGTTAACTTCTCTCATTCTGGATGCTTGTCTACCACAGCAAAACTCATGGTGAGCTTGCAATCCTACTCAGTCCCCGTGACCTTGTCCAGGCAAACTCCTATCTAGCCACACCTTCATTATCCCATATTTGCAAAGTGTATTTTTGGAACACAAGTGCAAGACTTACTGTTATCACTATCAAACGTATTAGATTTGCCCCAATATTCTGTAATATCCTGTCATCTGGTGTCTAATCTAACTCTCCCTTCCAGCTTTGTGTTATCTGAAAATCTGGTAAACATGCTAGCTTTGTTGTTACCTCAGCCATCGATAACAATGTCAAACAACAGAAGACTAACCACCAATCCCCATGGCGCCCCTCTAGAGACTGCTCTCCAAGTTGATATTGAGCCATTAATGGCTACAGTTTGGATCTGGCTATTCAACCAGAACCAAATCCAACTAAATGGAGGAACCTATAGGATCCAAGCCTTTAGATCTGGAAGGGACTTTTTTTGTTTTCGTTTTTTAGTCATTTTTTGGTCATGTCCAACCCTACAGATTATTTAAATTCATGTCTCTCCTCTCATTTGACCGTTGGGAAAATGGAGAGCTAAGGAAGTTGTAACAACAAAAATATCACCTTTAAACACCGTCTTTCCCTGCAGACCAGCAATATTGGCCTTTCAGCCTCATTTTCCTTATTTATAAAATGACGAGGCTGGGCTTCTGAAGGCTCTGCCTCTATGGTCCCTTCCAGCTCTCAGCATGTGATTTTAGGATCCTTCTTCCAATAATAAATGATCTTTCCCATGTATGACCCTCACTATAGGGATATGGCTCCAAGCTAGAGGAGCTGTGAGGAGGGGGGGAAAAAACCAAAAACCTGACAGCCCTTAGGAGTCTCTGCTTTCTGTGGGGAAAATAGAGATGGAGAGAGTCATTCAGAAAGGCCAACAAGAAGACAAAAACAGGGAGAGAGGGGGGCAGAGTAGGTACAGGACAGGGACTCCAACCTGAAGAACTGCTGCTTTGGGGTGTGGCTGCTTTGAGGGATGAAATACATTGAACTCTTCAATCCAGAAGTGTCAGACCCACTACTGCAAACCTTTCAAGTGCAGCCCAAATCAGATTTTGTATGTGTGTAGCTTCACTGGACTGACTCCAGCTTGCTGTACTCTGGTAGCCTGCCTCCTGAATCAACAGGGCAAAGCTAGAAATTCACTCCCAGCCTGGAAATATACAACTCAAGTGGGAGAGGGAGGAGGGGGGAAAGAGAAAGGGGGAGGATGAGGGAGAGAGAGAGAGAGAGAGAGAGAGGGAGGGGGAGGGGGAGAGAGGGAGAGGAAGACAATGTATTCATGCTCAATGCACACAGACATGCACACATGTATATGCACACACACACACATATATTCACCCATAAATATCTAAAACCAAGTTCATGGCCCCCAGGGTAAGAGCCCCTCCTGACTCAGTTATTCTTGTTGGCCCCAGAGTCAGGAAGAGTCCTTTCTTTGACACTTACTGGCTGTGACCCGAGGTTAAAGCCCCTGATAATCTTTAGGACTACAAATTACAGGGCAGGTACTAGCCTCTAGGAGGAATTTCCTCCTCCAGGGCAGCAGCGAAATAAATCACTGGTCCGGTCCAAGCCCCCGGTCTTTTCTTTCAAAAACAAAACCAAAACTTCTCTTATACATGTGGTCAGTGGTCCCCTCCCCAACCCCGGATTTCTACATCTTCCTTTCTCCAGATTGCCCTTTTACTCTCTTAGAACCTTCAAAGGAGAAAGTTTACAAAAGCTCTTTCCCGGTACCCTCCCACCCCCACACCCCATACCCCTCTTCCTTTATGAATGGTCTGTGAAATCTTAAGCAACTCCAGATTTCATTTTGGCCTGTGGGTCTATCCTAATTGGCAGGACGGATAAAATTCCTATCTGCCTCCACCCTCTCCCCATAATCCCTGTGGTCTGTGGCTTAAAGTGCTCACATTACTCCCGGTCCAATGCCTGTGGCCTCCCACTGGGTTAGAGATGGTGTCCCAGTAGAGCAGGCAACCTCTTCTAAGAAAGCGCAATTAAGCCCTTCTGCCTCCGATGTTGGGGTCTTCCTGGGTGGACCAGAGCCCCACTGGTTTTCTCTTTACCTGTGTTCTCCAAACTTTCTCTTGCCACCGCTGCTGCCGAGTTGCATATTTGGAGGCTGGGGGTGGATTTCTAACTTTGCTTTGCTGGTCCAGGAGGCAGCCTACCAGGGAACAGCAAACTGGAGTTAGGGAACCCAGTAAAACTCCAGTTGTCGAGTGCAATGCCAAGATTTTGGAATGCCAGGAATGCAGTTTAATGCAGCCTTAACCATGAGCTTGCCTTGGGTCAGGTGGCCAGGCTGAGCCTCCACCAGGGGCAGCCTTATCTCCCAGGGAAATGCTATGTTTCCTGGGATGAAATACATCTGCTGCAGCCAGGCTGTGCTGTTTTTTTTTTTCCTAAGTAGAGAACACAAAACTCCCTCTGTTTGTGAAAAACTACCCTTTCCCCAGGAAGACTGGGGAGAGGGGGAAAAAAAACCACCCAAGAACAGAGAGAGAGTGTTCAAGGGCAGCTGTGGCAGGTGAATGAAAGAGTCATGTGTGCCATTTCTTAAACCCAGTGAGAACAAGAGAGCTAGGAGCTAATTGGCATTTCCCTTCCTCCCAGGGCTTATAGAAATCACCTGGAACTCTGGGGAATTGACCTAGAAAGAACCTCAAGTAATCAGACAGCCACTTAGCCAATGGATGGGCCACATTTGGGTAAGACTTAAGGAGGGAGACCTCATGGGAAAAAAAAAAAACAACACAGCATTAAAAGATCAGAAAGAGAGTGGGGGGAGAGTGAGACATTATTGGGGGCACATTCCTCCTGGGCCTCAGTTTCCTCATCCCTAAAATAAGGCGGTTGGATTAGGATTGTAGGAGGATAGAAGGGACCTCAGAATCTAAATAACTAAGATTCAAGGATCCTGAGACCTCCTTGCTTACTCCCTATGTGACCTTCACTGGGTCACTGACCTCCTTAAGCCCCAGTTTCTTTATCTGAGAAATGAGAGGGTTGAACTAGGGGGCCTCTGGATTGCTTTTCAGTAATTCTCAAAGGAGGAGATTAAAGCTTTAATCTATGACCAGTTGGTTTTTAAAAAAAAAAAAAGCCTTCAAGAGAGCATCTCATCTAAACAGCTAAGGATTCATGTTTTACTCATATACAATGTAAGGCAGCATGGGGCTTACAAAGGTTCTTCTCACCCTGATGCACAGCCCCTCGGTTCAGCCTCTGTAAGGGTCTTCTGGTTCCATAGATGGGCTCCCTATGGAGCCGTCAGATGGTGATTCTGTTTATTGTACTGCTCACCAGCAGATTCTCAGTGTGTTCAGCCCTATGGCCAGGCAGGGAGCAAGGTGTGAACTGGCTGTTATGACAAGTGATGAGATGCCTGCAGTCTTAATGCTCCAGAGGCAAACCAACACAGACAGAGGAGGCTGAGGACCTGGTTAATTTCCCACCTCTGACACCTACTATCTTTGTGACTTTGGGCAAGTTCCTTAGCCTTTTCTATCTCAGTAGTTTGAGATCCATTCCCAATATGATCCTAGGACTTTTAAGCCTTTCCTCATCTCCAATGATGAAACATTCAATACCTTCATGGGTTGCCTGAAGAAGTTACGTGGTCAGCATCAATTATAACAACAACTCCCATTTATAAAGCCCGAAGGGGAGAGGTGATACAAGAACTGTAATCCCATTTTATAGGTAAGGAAAATGAGGCCTGGAACAATTAACTAACTTGTTCAAAGTTACACAGCCATTAAGTGTCCAAACCAAGTTGGAAAACTAATTTAAGAAGGCCATTATAAAAGTTTTCATATTTGAAGGCAATAATTGTCACCCTCTAGTCACTCTTATTAGGGGTGGCTAGGTGATACCATAGTACACAGAGTTCTAGGCCTGAAGTTACTGACTGTATGACCCTTAGGAAGTCACTTCACCCTGTTTGCCTCAGTTTCCTCACCTGTAAAATGAGCTGGAGGAGGAAATGACAAACCACTCCAGTGTCTTTGCCAAGAAAACCCCAAATGGGGTCACCAAGAGTTGGATACGACTGGAAAATGACCAAACAACAAAGTCACTCACTAAAACCAACAGCAACACAACTTGGTTTGTCCTTTCCTTGGTTTTTTTATTTTAATTCTTTAATCATTATAAGCAGCCGGGTGACCCAGTGGATAGAGAGCAGAACTCTGGAACAGGAAGAGCTGAACTCCAATCCTGCTTTGGCTAATTCCTCCTTGTGTGACCTTGGGCACATCTCAGCCTCATTTTCCTTCTCTGTAAAATGGAGATAATAATAGCACGTGCCTTCCAGAGCTATTGTGAGGATCAGAGGAGATAATGAACGTAAAATGCCAGGTAGACCTCAAAGCACTACATAAATGTTGGCTACAAAAAAAGTTACTCATCTCTCTTCTCACTCGATTAAATCTCTGTTGTTGTGGTTGACTCACATCCTACTTTGTGTCCCTGTTTGGGCTTTTCTTGGCAGAGACAGTGGAGGGCTTTGCCATTTCCTTCCTTCTGCAGCTCATTTTACAAGTGAGGACAACTGAGGCAAACAGGGATTAAGTGACCTGCCCAGAGTCACACAGCTAGTAAGTGTCTGAGGCCAGATTTGAACTTAGGGAGGAAGATTTCCTGGCTCCAGGCCAACCCTCAACCACGGAGTTATTAGGTCCTTTGCATAATGCTGGCCCAAGCTGAACACACTAGTCATAGAGGCCACACTTCAAGTATCCTTGGAATTAGGGGCTAAGGAACCTTTTCTCAGGTCTTTGTACAGCCAGAGTCTAGCCTGGGCCTAATTAGGTGCATACTAAATGTTTGTCCAAGGAAGGAATACCTCCCAGTACCAGGTCCTTATCAAAGCTGATGCTCCATTGATGATCCAGCCTGCCCCTGGCCTCAGGGAGCTTATAGGTGTATGGGCTGCAAGAACATTTTGTTCAGGATTGGAGCTCCCGTGATCCTTTTCCCCTGCCAGGCTAGTATCTAGACAGGCTTTCTTCCATTTTTAAGTGACTAGTTTGCAAAGATCTTGAATTTGTCCCAATTGTGTGTAGCAATATCTCATTCCTCCAACTCTCCCAACCCCACCTGAGCAGCCAGAGCCAGAACCTGACCATGGAGCTCACCCCATGAAAGGCTGAGCAAACCTGCCGTTTCCCTTGCTGGTGAATGGCCTGGCATACAATGTATACTGCCCAGAGCTGGAATCTTTGCAGGAGCTTAAGGTTTTCAGAGGGCTTTACATGAATTAGCTTATTGACCTTCACAGAATACCAAGAGGCAAGTAATTTTCTTTCTATAGGTAGCAGTAAGGAAACTTGTGAGTTCACCAGCGTAGGGAACTCTTGTGTAGAAACCCCTTCCTCTGACACAAGACACTCCTCCACACCTCTAGTCTTGGAGAGTTATCGGGTCTACCCAGAGGTAAAGTGACTTTGCCAGGGTCGCATAACTAGGATGTATCAGCAGGACTTATACTTGAGTCTTCCTGATTCTGAGGCTAGCCTTTTAGCTACTGGTCCATGCTGTTTCCCTAAGATAAGTACCTTAGGAAATATCGTTCCCATTTTACAGATAAGGAGAATGAGGTGAGAAGAGTTAAATGATTTCTTCTTACAGTCAGTGCCAGATAGGCAGGAGTTAAACCTGTAAAACATGGGGAGGCCCAATCGGATCTCTCTGGAAGAAGACATTTAAATCACCCAGAACTGCCTATAACAAATACCTATCGGTTCTTTTAGCTTTCCCAACGCAAAGCCAGTGTGATCACGAGGCGCTACGTAAATGCCAATGTTAGCGTCGTTCTTGTTGCTTCTTCAATTTTTTACGGGAGGGGTGTTGGAGGGTTAGGGTTAGTGGCCATATTTTCCACAGCCTATGTAATTCTGCAATGAGCCATGTAACAAGGGACAATGTTGAGAGGCAGTATCACATGGTGGAGAGTGTTGGGTTGAGACTGAAAGTAACTAGCTTCAAATGCTGGCTTTGCTATGACTACTCGTGTAACTTTGGATTAGTCATTGAGCTCTTGTGGGTCTCAGTTTCCTTACCTGTAAAATGTAGGGGTTGGGCTGGATCAGGGGTTCTTGAGTTTTTAGACCCCCCATACTCCACCCTGGCAGTCAGTCTGGGGAAGCCTATGAACCCCTACTCAGGAAAATGCTTTTAAAGGCATCGAAGAAAACATACGGGATGATGAAGCAATCTAATTATAGTGAATTATAGTTATCAAAATATCAAAAATGACAAGTTCATGCCCCACCCCCGGTTAAGACCTCTCGGGCTAGACTCTTTGTAAGGTCCTTCCCCATCTTCAAATCTATAATCCAGATTGTCTCCATTCTGAACAAATAGAAGCTTTCCCTCACATGTACGCACACCTGTGGTTCCTCAGCTTATGTACTACTGAGTTCTCTTAAGAATGATTTAGAAGATGATGGTAAAGCCACTAGAATTTCTGAAGGAAGTATTTATCATGGTCAAGAGGGTAAGGCTAGAAGGCCTCTTGGAGGCTACCTTGCTCAACTCCCTCACCTTAATAATAAGAAAACTGAGGCCCAAGCAAATTAAATGACTTACCCAAGGTCACATGAGCATAAGTGGCAAAACTTGAGCCCAGGTCTTCTGAACCCACCTTCATCACTCTGGCCATTGTATCACAAGGGATTGGCACTAGATCCCTGATTTAATTAGTACATGGGACTTTTAGGTGAGAAAATTCTCTCCACCAATGCTAGCTGGCACCTTTTAGTTTTAAAGAGCTGCCTAGATCACCAAGCAGTTAAGTGACTTGTGTAGGGTCACACTGCCAGTGGGTGTCAGAAATATGACTGGAACTCAGGTCTCCTTGCTTTTTCCACTAGCTGTCTGGCTCTTAGTTGACGCTGCCACTCTAGTCTACCACAAGTTAGGAAGGAACATGAGAAACAAACACAGCAAGCCAATGAGTCATGAGGAAAGTGGTGACCTCAACACTAGGAAGGCCCAGTTTTCTTTGACCCAAACACCATCATCCTTTCACAGTGATGGTTAGAAGAGTCTCTCAAAGGCTCCCAAATGCAGCAGCAATCATTCAATTTTTTTCTTTAAAAAAAAAAACCCAAACTACTCCTATTTGAAAACTGGCCCACTGAATAACTTGGGCGGCAAAATCTTTTGCTAAAGTTCACAGATTTTTTTTCCCTTGAAAGGAAGGATTAGAGATTATTTTGAAAGAGCACCTTTTTCACACAGCGTGAATGGACTCGGGGAGTTCCCATGGGAATCGGCTGCATACATTT